AAGGAACTGATACTATATTGCCTTAAAAACTACTATAACAAGAAAAAGGTCCAATTATGGTTGATTGAAGACAACAGCTGGAATAAATACACATAGAGCTATGGTTTTTCATTTCAACCTATAGGGTTTATATTATTTTTCAAGTCTCTGCAACACCAACAGCTATTTGGTTTGATACCAACCACTTGGTTTGATACGGATATTTGTGTGTATGTTGGGGATGATGCAGAGATAAATACATACAGCTCTTTTGATCTGTTAAAGAAAAATGTGACTTAACTTGTGTTATTTGAAGTGAGTTTTAAATGGTATCTGGATTTCTTTAACAGGTATCTGCTTCACAAAAATGAAATTTTTTACAAACTGAAAAATAATCATAAAAACTCTGTGGATTGGAATCTAGTCATGCTTTAATTCAAACCAAAAAGCTAGTTTTACTCCAACATATCTGGTTTGAGCAATATTCCCATAATAACTCAAAAGAGCATACAAATTAAGTCTTTGATATCAGTGTTAATTATCAGATAATCATTCAGATTCTTTTTCCACATACTATGTGGCTTGATAATTCTTACTTTGGCTAGTTCCTCAAACTTCATGGAAAAAGAAGGAACTCAGGAGCAGATACTGTTTTTAATAAAAATAACAAACACTTCCCAACATTAATTTTAACTATTATTAGTGTTTCTGGGTTTTGGGGTGCAGGGGAGGGCTCGGCTCCCCTGAGAGGATGCTTTTCCAGGCTCTTGGTCTCTCACTCACCCAAAAATGGGAGAGGGGACCATGGCGAGTGCACTTGTAAGAAAATATCAGACTCTCAAGAGGTTTGTTTTTTGTTTGTTTGTTTTCAGAAAAGTGACTTATTTAGGCAGAGAAAGAGAAAAAGATGAAGAGAGAAAACTTCCACAAAAAGTGTGGAAGGGAACCCAATTATGAAATCCAAGGAGGTGAGGAAAAAGGGGACTTTTAACCTGGGAGGAATTCCCACCTCCTCCAAGCCCCCTGGCCAATGAAAAGAGTTCCTTTAAACTTCCACTGGATTGACTTTGATTATTTTCCCACACCTGCGAAAATTTAAACAAAGACCCTTAAGTCTCCCGCATTGAAAGAGGGGAAGGGGGGCATTGGGAAGTTCTTGACCTTGAAACTACGCCCCCTTGTGGACCCAGGAAGGGAATACATTTCCTCATTAGTTGCTATAGAAAAGGTCAAACTAGCATGAACGCATTTTTCCCTGCCCCTTAGAGATATTTGAGGATCCTTCCAATTTTTCTCTCTACAGTAAAGGAATACAATGAAAGTTGTTTAGCAGTAATGGTGAGTTCTACTTCTATTTTTCAGCAGATGATGGGTCACCATTATTCTGTTCTAAATGAATCAAGAAAATGCAATGTATCTAACTGATCAAACACAACTTACTAGGGCAAGAAAAGATTTTTCATGTCAACGAACTAGGAAAGTAATTTAGTCCAAAGGATTTTTTTAAAATCCTGATTTGTGTGGTTTGTTCATCCTGGATTTATTATTTAATTGAATTAGCTCTATGTACTGGTGTTCACCCAGTCTGCCTGAGTTGACACTCCTGTCCTACCTAACATTTACTAGTTGTATGCCCTCAATTAAGTTAATTCTCTAAGTCTCGGGTTCTTTAACTTTTTATATTATAATTTATTATTAATTTAGAGTCAAAAGGAACCGATGGTATAATCTCTCTAGATGATTTTTACAAAGTTTAGTTCATGATTGACAGCTGTAAGAACACCCAAGGATTTCCTACCGGAATGAGACAAGTTCTCATCTTGCCTTCAGGACCATAATGTGATATTGATTCAGGAACCTCAACTCATATCTTAGTACATCTAATCTCCACCAAGGCTGATGCTGTTTACAACCTCAGGAAGTAGCTGCCCCAGGAGAAGAAAAAGACCAAAATAGCAGCCCTTGATTTCCAGCTTTGAAGATTTTTAGATTCCTTTATAAGGGAGAAACACTTAGGAAAACCATTATCCTAAGTGAAATAACTCATTAATTTATTTTTATTAATAATAAATAATCATTTGTCATTAATTTTTTTATAATATATTGGGTACTATTAAAAGAGTTTTGCATGAGTTAATTTATTTATTATTTATAATGTCTCTATGAGATGGCGTATTAGTACATTTTTACACTGCTCATAAAGACATACCCGAGACTGGGCAATTTATAAAAAAGAGGTTTGATGGACCCACAGTTCCACATGGCTGGGAAGGCCTCACAATCATGGTGGAAACTGAAAGGCACATCTCACATGGGGGCAGACAAGAGAAGAGAACCTGTGCAGGCAAACTTCCCCTTTATAAAACCATCAGATCTCGTGAGACTTATTCACTGTCGCAAGAACAGCATGGGAAAGACCTGCCGCGATGATTCAATTACATCGCACTGGGTTCCTCCCACAACACATGGGAACTGGGGGAGCTAGAATTCAAGATGAGATTTGGGTGGGGACACAGCCAAACCATAGCAGATAGATACTACCATTTTTTCAGATGAGGAAACAGAGATTCAAAAACATCAGGTAATTTGTCTGAGGTCTGAGTACTATAAAGCAAAGTGATAAATCTCAGTGATAAAGCAAAGATTTGAACCCAGGTAAACAGCTCTGAAGCCTTGACTTCTGATGACTGTGTTAGGTTCTCTGTCAACAACACTTCCTTAGGTTTTCAGGAAGTTCTGAGAAAATGCTGGTCAGGCACATAACCCAGTGTCTGGCATATAGTAAATACTTTAAATTCTTACATGTAATTATCATCCACACAAACTTCCTGGGAATGGTAATTAACCCTCTAGTATAAATGAGTTTACTCAGTACAACATAGGTGATGAGTAACATGTACCTTAAGCTATGTAGAGGTCTACCAATTTTCCTGCCAAGAAAATTGTTGGTGACATCATTCTCTCAATCACTCAGAATTGGCTTTTAAGAATACTTTGTATATACATACAAAATAAAGAATAATAAAACCATCATCAGTTTCACCAGGCTAAAGTTAAGGTGTGGCAGGAGTGGCTTCTGAAAAATTTACTTTCCTGCTTTTTCCATCGTCTAGTGGCCATCTGCATTCTTTGTATCCTGACCCCTTCTTCCACTGACAAAGAGCATCACTACAATCTCTGCTTCTGACATCCCATCGCCATCTCTGGCTTCTCACGTGTCCCTCTCATAAGGACCATTGTATTTATCTCAGGCCCACCTAGGTAATGCTGACCTGTTCCATCTCAAAAAACCTTAAGTTAATCACATTTGTAAAGTCCCTTTTGCCATATCAGGTTGTAGTCACAGGAGCCATGGAGTAGGCTATGAACAAATCTGAGGGGCCATTATTTAGACTACCACACTCCCGTGCTTTTTCTTTTCTCTTTTGAAAATTAGTGCTAGCACCCTAAGGCAGCTTGTTACCTTACACAGCTAACCTAATTGCCTCCTAATTGGTCTGCTGGCTCAGAGGTGAAGCAAAAGTGATACTGAGAAGTATATACATTCTATGGGCACCAATTTGTGGGGCTATCAAAAGATGCTGGAGAATGCTTTTATTGCAATTTTGCACTGAGTTACTAACTTTATGTTTGTTGTCCATGAAACATATAAAAGTGTCCCTAATATCATTTCTGTATTTATTTGTGTCAGGCAAATATCGACACTGGATAGGGAGAAAGAGCTCAAAAGCATTGCATTGTCTTTGGGTACCATTTATCTTCAATGTGTCAGTATACCTGACTCAGTTGTTCTCTGTTACCAATCCTACACTGCAATACCAAATCCATACTTTCAAAATACAGGACGTTGGATTATTTAACAACAACCAAAAAAATGCACACACAGTAAGGAACAAAGACAGTCAGGGGCTCCCAATTGCTTACAGTCGTGATTCTCAAATGTATTCAAGTTCAATAACTAAGTCACATTGCTCCAGGAATGTCATTTTTAAAAAAATTTAAAGAAAAAAAGCAAGTACTTTGGCTTCAGACATACCTGGAGTTAAATCCTGCCCTTAGTAGCCATCCATGCACTGGGTGGAGTGCATGTCTTCCTGGATAATTTGTCCCCTAATCAGAAGCATTTGTGGAAAGAATAAAATCACATATCACATGTAGGGCATTTAGCACAACACCTGGCACTTGATAGGGACTCAAAAATCTTATATCCTTCTCTCTCCTTTAGATAAATACTATGCTGTTTACAGAAAGCTATGAAATATTAATTACTCAAACTAGAAGCAATATTTCTTAACAGACTGTGTCATATATGCTATAAAATATAAACTCTAACAGCAAGATCTCAAGAGAGCAAAAGTGTTAGGGTAAACCCAATCAACTACGTCTATATTTTGGAATAAATCATCCTAGGCTATCTTCATATATTGACATGGACTAACATTTGCTGGTAGATGAGCAGTAGGAGTGGGTCCCAAATGTTCAAGAAAAATATTTTGGGCAGAAAGATTGCAAAAAGAAAAATGGAGGGAAGAAAAGTCCCTATTCATTAATTAGGTTTTAAACAAGTTGAAAAAGTCTGGCATTATTTGATTTTAACCTCAGAAACTTCAGCTCAAGTCATAAAATAAGAATATTCTCTGGGGACGTGGTGGGAAGAACCTCTCAGATAAACCCAAATTGCCTGCCTTGACCTTCCAAATGCCTCCAGTTTGGTTCCAACTGATGTTTTCAAAGTTTTCTCCCTGAAAGCCCTCTGTCCTAGTCAGATTAGTCTGAAGGCCCCTGGCAAATTTCCTTCACGCTTATCACTGCACCTGCTTCTCTGTTATTTCTACACCCAAGTGACAAACTCCAGTGGTACAGCTCCAGGTCATGACAAAATGCAGACCCAGAGTGACCAGGTCTTATAATTTTTTAAGAGAAGCTGTACTCTGGAATTTGGCATGCAGTTTCCTTAATTTTTAAATATGTAAAACTAATTAAAAATGTTTTAAAAATTGAATTAGCTAAAGGAAACATACCTGCAGGCTAGACTGAATCCCCAGTAAGCAGCTCTGCCCTTTGCAGATCATTAAGGTACAGCTCAAGCCTCCTCCCTCAGTAGTGAGCGTCTAGAGTGATTCCATCTCCCCCTGCATATGTCTTCTTCTAGGCTCAACTTTCTCTTGTATTTCATGCTTTTCTCTCTTTAGCACTTGTTTATGGCCTTATTTAAGCTGCTGTTTAATGTTATTTTAAGTTTCTGGAGGCAATCATTATATATTGAAAGAATTTTTGTCTTGTTCTATCTTTCTAAACTTACAACACAATGAATTGGGTGAATGAATAAATTACTCACATCAAAGCTTCTTTCCAATTTCTATTGACATAGTGATCATCAACTGTTTATCCAATAAATTATTTTTTTTATTTTTACTGCTCCATACGTTTTGCTGTGGAGCAGGAAGTCATCTACAATTTTTCTTCCACCCCAGTTCAAGGAAGACACAATCAGCAAATACAGATGAAAACACATGAATTTGGACCAAGGCTTATTCTAACCAGTCAAGTTGATGTATCCTCCTACACACGCTCAATCTAGAAGAAAAGACCCTGATAGATGGAATTGTTTGGGAGGTTCTTTTGTGTTACTTATCCGTAAGCTGCCTTAGTCATCTTGTTTGAGGTAATGACACTTTGTTACATCAGAAAGGAAACTATATTATAATATCAAAAAATCCTAAGCTGAATCCAACTTAAACCAAACTATTTATGTACCACAGTGTCATTTCTTTTTGTTCTAATAAGTATTTTTCTATTTATTTCAATAGTTTCTGGGGTATGGATGGTTTTGGGGTACACGTGTATGTTCCTTCGTTGCAACTTCTGAGATTTTGATGCACCCATCTCCCAAGCAGTGTAGACTGTATCTCTCATCTTCCTCTCCGCCTTCTCCCCCAAGTCCTCAAAATCCATTATATCATTTTTATGCCTTTGCATCATCACTTATAAGTGAGAACATACAGTACTTGGTTTCCCATTCCTGAGTTATTATACTTCATGTTCTCCAGCTCCATCCAGGTTCCTCCAAAAGACATTATGTTCCTTTCTATGGCTGAGTAGTATTCCATGGTGTATGTATACCACATTTTCTTTATACACTCCTTGGTTGATGGGCACTTCGACTGGTTCCACATCTTTGCAATTATGAATTGCGCTGCTATAAGTATGCGTGTTCCTGTGTGACGTGTTTTTTGAATTTCGTAGCCCATAGGTAGCTTCCATTTGTGTGACAAAATTGAGAAATGTCTACATGTCAAGACAAAATACTCCACTTCTATTTTGATTCATGTCCTTTCTTCCCTAGCCATGTCCAATGCATCTCTTATGGAAGTTTGTGTTGTATCAGTCCATTATAGGCCCTAGTGACTTTTGTCTGTAGTTCAAAATTGCCGTCCAAATTGTAAAGTAAAGTACTGCTGCTTTTATGACAACTCTGGGCTGTTGTAATTGATGGATGGCAGCAAGACACAGTTTGAGAACATGAGCTTCATACAAAGTACTGCTTACCAGCAGTTATAGTCAGGGAGGACTAATTAATTTCTGGACTGTCCATTTTCTCACCTGTAAAATTACACTAGTAATATATAGGTAATGGAAGCATTAAGAGAATTAAAAGATGTATGTAAACTACAAGCACTAAAAAAAGTATAGCTATTATTCCTTTTCCCTTTCCCTTCCCTTCTTTTCTGCCCTTTTGATGTGAGAATCTACAGAACCTGCCCACTTTTCCTCCAAAAGGATATGGACTTCCCAAGAAAATGTTTTTATTTGGTTCTGAATCCCATTCATAATTCCCCTCCATGGAGGTACTTTAAATATTGTTAGATATTTATTTCATCCATTTATTAATCCGACAAATACCGGTCTCTCCTTTGACTCATCTAGAGAATTAATAAATGCAAGCTGAGTTTATGAAACTTACAACATATGATGAAACATAATTTATTAGAGTGATGCCATCAGAATTAATTATGCTCTTCCCTAAACCAGCAAACTTTAAATATAAGAAGGAAGAAGGCTTGCTGGTTACAAGGCTAAAAATTAACAGGAAATCTTTGTGTGACCCAATTTAACTATGTGTTAGCTACAAGACCAGCGCTGGAGACTCATTAGAAAAGGATGTCAAAATTGTATCAAGATGTAAAGTGCAAGATATAATTATATCGTGTTTTATCTTATGACAGATACTTATAAGGGCCTCAGCATGCCTTCATTCAAGAATTAGTTACAGGCATTAAACACCATCCATATAGTAAACAGGCGGGAAGCATCTTCAATTAGTAAATCTAATATCCAGATTAAGCAGTGATTCCTTAAGAGAAGATGAAATCCAACAGACTAACTAAAGGATTCCTTATCTTACCAATGATAAAAGAAAATAAAGGAACTTTACAGGTCAGCCTCAAAAAGAGAAGGCTAAGGAAGACATCACAATTGGTTTCAAAATATAAAGGACTTCAATGAGTTGAATTACCATTGTAAAGTCAAGACAATAAAACTGACCTAAAGAGAAAGAGAGATTTTTCTCATGATTGGATAAAGAAAATTTGTAGATAGACATAATGGAATACTATTCAGCCATAAAGAGAGAATGAAATCATGTCTTCTGCAGTAACACGGATGGAATGGGAGGCCATTATTGTGACAGAAACGACTCAGAGAAAAATACTGCAAGTTCACACAAATAAGGGGGAACTAAATCATGTGTACATACGGACACAGAGTGCAGCATGGAAGATACTGGAGACTCAAAAGGTTGAGGGAGTGGGAATGGGGTTGATGATGAGAAATTGCTTAAATGGATACAATGTGCATTACTTGGGTGATGGATACTCTAAAAGCCCTGATTTCATCACCCTGCAATCTATGCATGTAGCAACACTGCACTTGTATCCCATTAATATAGACACATAAAAATAAATGAATAAATAAATAAAACAGGAAGAGAAAATGATTCTTGATGAACCAAAGGAAAAACTGGAGAAGTGCTAAAGCACAAGAAATTCTTAGGAAAGCTTTTTATTTTCTATCTAGGAGGTCTCAAGACAAAACAATCATTTACCATCAGAGAGGGTTTCAACGTTCATTCACACTGAAAGTGCATGACACGTAATTATATGTGTTGTAAGAAAACGTCAAAGATTCTTCCCTCTTCCCTTATCCCTCCTACACATACCATTCAAAAGATTGCTGAAAAACAGCTATTCATCTTACACTTTAAAATCTTTACAGAAGTCATTTACTCACTGCCATTTGATAATATATCATAGCATCTTTATTTCTCCTGGCTACAGTGTTTCTTGGCATACACCTTCTATTACTAGGCAGAAGAAACAACTGACCTATGTTGCTCTGGGTATCCACCTACTATGAAAAGCCTCAAGTGTTAAAAACCAACTTAGAGACAGACCTTTCCTTTTCCCCTCCTCTTCCCTTTCTCCTTCCCCTTCCCTTCCATTTTAGATTCAGGGGATTCATGTGCAGGTTTATTACGAGGATATATTGTGTGATGTTGAGGTTTAGGATATGAACAATTCTATCAACCAGGTAGTGAGCATAGCACTCAACAGTTTTTCATCCCTTACCCCACTTCCTCTCTCCGCCTAGTAGTCCCAAGTTTGCCATCTTTATATCCACGTGTACCTGATGCTTAGCTCCCACTTGTAAGTGAGAACATGTGGTATTTGGTTGTCTGTTCCTGCGTTAATTTTTTTAATATAATGGCCTCCAGCTGCATCCATGTTGATGCAATGGATATGATATTGTTCTTTTTGATGGCTGCATAGTAGTCCATGGTACATATGTGCCACATTTTCTTTATCCAATCCACCATCAATGGGCACTCGAGTTGATTCCATGTCTTTGGTATTGGGAATAGCGGAGCAATGAACATACGAACGCAGGTATCTTTATGGTAGAATGCCTTATTTTCTTTTGGATATATACCCAGTAATGGAATTGCTGGGTTAAATGGTAGCTCTGTTTTACGTTCTTTGAGATATCTCCAAACTGCTTTCCACAGTGGCTGTACTATATTTTCACTCCCACTAATGGTGTATAAGCCTTCCTTTTTCTCCACAACCTGTCAGCATCTGTTATTTTTTGACTTTTTAGTAACAGCCATTCTGACTGATGTGACATGGTATCTCATTGAGTTTTGTTTGCATTTCTCTGATGACCAGTGATGTTAAGCATTTATCAATAGGCCTGTGGGCCACATGCATGTTTAGAGATTGCTCTCTCAAGTCTGGTTTCATCTAGTGATTTCTCATACCCATTACACTAAGGATAAAGATAATCTGCTTTCGTTTTATTCGCTGTTGCAAACAATTTATGCCAGAAAAAAATATATGCCTTCAATTATTTTTTATTTTTATTTTTAAATTGTGTGGGTACACAGTAGTTGTATATATTTGGGAGGTACATGAGATGTTTTAAGACAGGCATGCAAGGTAAAATAATCGCATCATGAAGAATGAGGTATCCATCCCCTCAAGCATGTGTTCCAAACAATCCAATTACACTCTCTTAGTTATTTTGAAATATACAATAGTTATTATTGACAGTCACTCTGTTGTGTTATCGAATAGTATGTCTTATTCATTCATTCTGACTATTTTTGTACCAATTAATCATTCCCATCTCCGCTCATCACACCCACCTCCAATTAATTAGATCCATTTCTATTATTTTTATTGGGAAAAGACTTGCATAGTTAATGGTCAGATTTTTATATGTGAGAGACATGGATTAGGATAGATGAATGACCTGTAATTAAAAGTTAGGACAAGACTGCTGGTGAGCTACAGAACAGTTGGGAACATCTTCTGTAGACTCCAACAACCATGTAATTCATTATCCAGACTAGAACACTTTTGAGAGTGAAAGGCTGAGGAGCTGTTAATCATGATAGCAGGACAATAGGTATAAAGTGGAACTGACCCAGACAAACTTGGATATCGGGGGTCACCCAATCTATAACCAAATTTCATACACAATAAAAGTGTTGGGGCCAAGGGCAGTGGTTCATGCCTATAATCCCAGCATTTTGGGAGGCTGAGGAGGGTGGATTACCTGAGGTCAGGCGTTCAACACCAGCCTGACCAACACAGTGAAGCCCCATTTCTACTAAAAATATAAGAATTAGTTGGGCATGGTGTCACTTGCCTGTAATCCCAGCTGCTGTGGAGACTAAGGCAGAAGAATCACTTGAACCCAGGAGGCAGAGATTGCAGTGAGCCTAGATTCTGCCATTGCACTCCAGCCTAGGCAACGAGAGTGAAACTCCATCTCAAAAAATTTTTTAAATAATTAAAAAACGATAGTAGGACCTCTTTAAGTTACACCAAAAAACAAGCTTCACTGTGCTTGATTTATAGACACCTAGAAAGACTACTTTGACAATGTGTGACCATAAAACCAGGAATAATACTGATGGCCAATGTTAAATTCATTCTTACACCTGTTACCAAAGAAAATGCTGAACACCCAGGATATCTTTCTTACATTATTTCTTTTGCTCATAGGATAGTTCAAAGAAGCAGTGTTAAAAAAGAAACACGGTAATTAGCCTGCCACAGTTCATGAATGAGAACTTTCTGAACTCATCTTGCATCAGAAGAGTGTGCTTCTTAGCCTAACACAAACAGCAAACATTGCATTCGCTCTGTACATCATGGTATCTTGTGTTTTATGCCAGAGAGCTCTGAATCAGGAAACAATCCTCATGAAATTAGATAATACACTTCCATTGCTTATCAGAAAGTAAATTTTCGGGGTGACCCTGGCACAGGATCCTTAAGAACAGTTCTTCTTCCAAATCAGCATTATTTTATTTCCCGGATACATTACTCTTCTGAGAG